TTTTCTAAAGTAGGCGTTTTGTATACTTTAAGATTGAAAGTAGGTAATTCTTTTTTAGATAATCTCTTAAAGTGCTGTAGGGAACCCACTGGCAGCTTCCTGCCTCACAACTCACAGACACTGTATTTTTAAAATGAATTTTTAATTGACAAATATTAATTGTGTATATTTATGGGGTACAATGTTTTGAGCTGTATGTACACTGTAGAACAATTCAACTGAGCTAACATATCTATTATCTCACTGACTTAACCTTTTTTGTAGTGAGAATGTTAAAAATCTATCTTTTTAGCAATTTTGAAATAGATATTGTTAACTGTGGTTACTGTGAAGTACAATAGGTCACTAAAACATAGTCCTCCAGTCTAACAGTAACCTTGTACCTTTTGGTCAGCATCTTCCCTTTCCCCAGTCCCTCCCCCGATTCCCATTTACCAGCCTCTGGTAATCATCTTTATACTGTTTCTATGAGATGAACTTTGCTTTTAGATTCCACACATGTGGGGTCATACAGTATTTGTCGTTCTGTGCCTGGCTTATTTCACTTAGCACAATGTCCTCCAGTTCCATCTATGTTGCAGTGAATGAAGAATTTCCTTCTTTTTTAAGGTTCTATACTATTCCACTGTGTGTATATACCCTATTTTCCTTATCCATTCATCTGTTGATGGACATTTGGGTTGCTTCCGTATCTTGGCTATTGTAAATAATGCTGAAATGAACATGGTAGTGCAGATATCTCATTGACATATTGATTTCAATTCCTTTGGATATATACTCAGAAGTGGGGTTGCTGGATCATACGATAATTCTATTCCTAGTTTTTTTAGAAACCTCCATACCACTTTCCAAAATGGGTATCCTAATTTACATTTCCACTAACAGTATACCAGGGTTTCCTTTTCTCCACATCCTCATCAACACTTATTCATCTTTTTGATAACCATCATTTTCTCACCATTTTCAATTGTGATGATCTTTACTTTAGCTCCATCACAATTCTAGTCCTCTTTTTATGGAAAATGTCAACATTCCTACTGCTTTAGCACCTGTCAGTTATCATGTGATCAATAATATTCATGTAACACCTCAAATTAAGCAGTATAGAGCAAACATACCCTATTTAATAATATAAACGACTCACCCCACATGCCCTCTGACTGCACTGGGCTTTAGCGGGCAAAGTTGACTTGCTTCTGTTGAGTGACTTTTAAAAAACTATGTTAGCTAAGTTAAATCTACAGTTTTTGAATTCCTACCCTGGATGCAAGACATTTACAAAGACTTCCTTCCTCTGCTCCCAGAGAAAGCAGCAATAAATTTTTCCACCATCACTACACCACTTGAGGACTACCTCATGCTTTATTGGGTTTAGGGAGCAAGGGTCTTGCTAATAAGTTACTTCCACAGTGTCACTTCTATTCCTAGCGCTTTATCAAACAATTTGAGGACCTCATTTTTATGCTAGGGCTTCATTGATGGAATGGAGCCATCACATTGTCTATATCACTTTAGAGGTGTTTCCAAAGTTCTCAGCACCTCGAGTCTCTTGTTAGCGTCCGTGGACGGTCAGCGGGAAAACTTGGTACCTAACAGGGTTTCCACCAAAGGCAGCTCTCCGAGGGGCTTCACCATCAAGAGCAATCGAAACAGACTGGACCACCCTGCTGGGTCAGTCCCAACATTCCAGGGCCACGCGAGGAAGTCTAAGGCGGGAAAGAGACGATCAGTGGGAGGGCCAGGCGCCGGGATTCCCCACTTCTGCGCCTCCACCCCTACTCCCGCCCCACGCCCACCGCCCTCTCCACTGACAGTCCGCCGCGCCCGCCCACGCGGTGACGTCATCTCGCGGCAGCCGGGCGCCCCGCCCAGATAGTGGGAGCCGGAAGCCGGGCATGCAGCGGCGCGCGGCGTCCCGGAACCCACGAGCCTGAGAACTCGCGCACCTGGGGGAAGCCGGCGGGAGGCAGCGGGCATGCGCAGGGCTGCGGTGGCGCAGGCGCCCTGCTGCGCTCGCCGGTCGGGAACCGGTTCTCCTAGTCGGAGCTGGCGGCGTGCTGTGGGCTGTGCGGGAGCGAGGGAAGAAGAGGGAGATAGGGAGCCCGACTCTTGGGAAGGGCAGGCTTGCCTCTGGGATGGGGAGGAGGCAGTGCAGGGATCCTGCTGTGTGTCTGTACAGGGCGCGTCCCAGTAGTTTGGGATTTGCAAGAGGATGCAATCAAACAACATTGGCATAGAAAGTGCGATGCGTTTATCCTAAGCCAAGAACACGCTTAGAATGCACACCCAGAACCAGTTCTCCCCGAGGGATGGCAACGCACCTGTGTGCCGGGCTCCGCGCAAGGGCTTTCCTTGTTCTTTTATTCTCCCGCCGCCGCTAACAACCGTGTGGGGCGGGCATGGTTGGATCCCCAATTTAAAAGTGGGGAAACTGAGGACAGATTAACCGGTCTGCACGTAACAAAGCTGAAAAGTGGTGGAATTGCTGTTTTTTTCAGGTTTGCCTGATTCTAGAGCTCAGTGCTGCCCATCAGGTGTTTGAAGTCATGATTTGGGGAAAATGGGACAGTGAAGACGTTCTGTTTAAAAAAAAAAAAAAAAAAGCATATCATGAGGTTTGGACATTGAGAGGTATAGGCTGGCTGTAGGAGTCGGGTAGGTGCCAAGGAAAAGGAACTCAGGGTAGATTTTGAATGGGATTTGGCGACAGGGAAGGAGAGAAAGCTTTCCGGTGGTGAGAACAAGGGGAAGGAAAGGGAAAACAAAAGCGCGGAGGTGGGAAAGGAAACATAGGGAGAAAGCGATTGCCTCATTTGGAGTCTTGTGTTTGTGTTTGGCTTGCAAATAGAAGCATCTATAATTCTAGGGTTGGGGTTTTCTTTCAAAGAAATGAATTTTCTCCTTTCTGTTCTTAGGGTTTATGCTATGATGCACAGTGACACGTACCTCTGTTTAGCAAGGTGCATTCCGGCTAGTCATTTAACAGCTGGAAACTTATATACCTGTGGCAAAGATGATCTGCGGTGGAGGGTTTATTCCTGGCCCCTGGCCTGCCTGACTTTGGTCTTTTTAGTGCTTGCCGGATCCTTAGTTCCTTTCTGGTTCTAGTAGTGAGAGGAATAAACACTTCTAACTCCAATCCAACACACTCTCAGTGTCAACACCCTCACTATCTTTAAAAGAAGAAAAAAAATACGAAATCATCTTTGTTTAAAGAAGCCTGGCCCCTGTGATTTGTTAATTTGTTGTTTTTATACTGTTATTGCTATAACACAGTTTGCACTACACCATTTAGCAACTGATTACTACCTTGTATTAGCCTCTAATTGTTTAATGGGTGTAAATTTTATCTCCTTAAAAAGATTGTAAGATGCCTTAGTCACGGGACTGTGCTGTTTATCTCATAGCCCTGACTGCTGACTTAATTGCCTTTTTCAAGTGTTTCTCTTGCTGAACCCTCATCACTGAGTACCCTGCCTGGCATACTAGGTACTCAGTAAACATTTAATAAATGAAATGAGTCCTCCTGGAGAGCAGGAACAAGCTTGTTATTTATATTGTTCTGGTCCCCTAGCAGAATTATCTTCTCTGGTGGGCACTCAGCACTCTGATGTGACTTCATCGCTGTGCCTTTCATCAGGGGAAAGATAATCTCCTTGTTTTGCCCTATAAAGAATTGCCACCTGAACACTATGCCCACAAGAAGTCTGCTGAGAAATAATTGTTGATAGATGGACTTAGCCTCAAAGACATCCTGGATTCTTTTCTAAAGCGTGCATCTGCCCCTCTACAATAAACGGTATTTGTGGTTATCTTGGCCAGGCTGCCTAAGAAATACTTTAGGAGAATGTAATTTGAGTATCTTCTTGGCTTGAGAAAGCAAACAAACAAACCAATAAACAGAATCAAACCAACAGAACCCAATAGCAAAAGGATCTTCGTGTTTAATAACCCTATCTGCAAATTTTAAACAATTTTGTGCTCCGGGAGAGAGAATGCCTCCTTGTGTGTGAATTTCCAGAGCTTTTAATTTATAGTGACATTACATTCAACACTTCCTTTTAAATTTGAAGGGAGGTGGCCTTAAAAATATGCTGGCAACTGGTTTGGATGAGAAAGATTCCGGTTCTTTCTTTATCCAAACCAATTAGACCAGGTCTGAACAGGATTTACAACAGAGAGCAGACCTTGGGTGCCCAAGAACTTTGCTTCATTCCAGGTTGGCGAACACAAGTCAAGTCTGCACCATTGTTCTGTCAGCCGGTTCAGGATACGGCACAGAGTCGATGGGATGGGATGGGGGTGGGAAGGTGATGAGTTCACGTAAATATCTGTACCTAGGAGAGTCAGAAGCTAGAGTAAATTCTCTTAAATAGGCCCTTTCAGTGGCTGCTAAATTTGGCTCATTTCCCATGAATTAGCTGTGGGACACTGGGGACAACTTAGTTCAAATTTCTGGGCCTTCGTCTCCTCATTCGTAAAATGGGGATAACGATAATTTTGGAGTTATAGCATGTAAATGTGCAAAGCAGTTAGAACAATGCCTGGTACACTCACACATAGCACGCGCTTTGTGAAATGTTTGGCAAGTAAATAAAGCGCTAACCTATGCTAACCGCGTCTAAATAGCCAGCCACTTGTAAGCCCCACCTATACTGAAATTACGGGGACGCTACCGTTTTCCGACTTCGAGATTTTCCTGACCCATGCAATTACTTTTGCTGCCCTCCACGAGGCTGTAACTCGCCCTCAGGATGTGGGACGTCTGGACTCTTCTCTCCGCCCCCTTGTAACCCCCCACGCTCCCTCGCGGTGGTGCAGTGAATGAGGGAGGGGTACACGTCCTCCTTCTTCCCCGCCCCCTATCTTCGCGGCTCGCTAAAGCGTTAGTAACCGCCCCGCCGTACTACCGTTGGTCCGGGAACGCCTCCGGGGCGGGGCTGGGGTGCCGCGCACGCGCTGTACAGCCGCGCAGCGCCTGCGCCGTGGAGGGCCTGAGGGAGGCGGGGGATTGGTATGCGAGCGAATGTGCGAGGGGAGGGAGGCGTCCCGGCGGAGCGTGGTACTACGACCAGCGCCGGCCGGAGGGGGCGGGGGGATGCGCCGCGGCGGCGGCGGCGGTGGCGGTGGCGGCGGCGGCGGCGCGGGCGCTGGGGCTGGTGTTTGGCGGCGCCAGAGCAGCGGATCCCGGTCTTGCCGCAGCAGCAGCGCGGGTGTCGTGCACCGCCTGAAGACGCCGTACCTTTCTACCCCCCACTTTTTTTTTTAAATAACCGGAACCAATGAACGCAGCCGGGATCAGAGCTCCGGAGGCCGCCGGTGCCGACGGGACCAGGCTGGTGCCCGGCGGGATTCCGCGACTGAGGCGGCGGGGGCGGCCGGAGGAGTCGCCGGTGGCGGTGGCGGCGCTTCGAGGAGCGGGCGAGAGGCGTGCGGCCGGGGCGCAGCTGCGCTTTCACCCGGCTCCTCCTCGGCGCCCTCATCCCGCCTCGACTCCCGGCCCAGCCTGGGGCTGGCTGCGGCGGCGGCGCTGGGCTGCGTTGCTGGTGCTCGGGCTGCTGGTAGCCGGAGCGGCGGACGGATGCGAGCTTGTACCCCGGCACCTCCGCGGACGGCGGGCGACAGGCTCTTCCACAACTGCCGCCTCTTCTCCCGCCGCGGCGGCCGGCGATAGCCCAGCGCTCACGACAGGTGAGGGGCCGGGGGGCGGCGGGCGGGGCTCAGCCGGCCGCGGTGGGACTCCCCCCATCCAGTGCAGAGGCCAGCATCTCCGCCGGACGTCCGCTATTCCACGACCTCGGCCGGGCGTGATGCGGAGCCCTGGCTGCTGTTCCGTCGCGGTTCCCTGCACTCCGGACATCTTCCCTTTTCACCCCAACACCCCACCCTCGCCGAGCCTCTCGACGGCACTGGTTCCCCTCCCTTCAGTCGGGCTCTCAGATCTTCCAAGCTGAGCAATGCGGTGGTTTCTCTTTCGTGCTGCAGAAGAGCCAGCAGGGTCTGCAGGGGACTGGGCTGATTTTCTTTTTTTTTTGAAGCTGCTGGAAAAAAGTCAGCAGCAGCATTGCGGTATTGAGTCTACCTCTGGTGCTGCCTTTGCAAAGGCAGCTGGCAGCGAGTCTCACCGGTTCAAAGCCCCGCTGAGCACAACGTCCCAGGGGAGGCTGCTAAAGACGATTCTTTGAGAGCCATAATACCTAGTGATAGTAGTTCCGTGTTTGTATGCAGAAATGCCTAAGTTTACTGTGCATTTTTTTGCGGGGTGGAAGGAGGCCGTTTTAAGTGATGGAAAGTGTTTGCTGGTGGGAGCATCACTGGGTGACAAAGGGTGCAGAAACCGCAGCAGGTAACCAGAAATTATACCTAAAATTTGCAAAGTGCAGCATACTCGGGGCTTGCAGCTGGCAACACATTTCTGATAGACTGCACCAGCACCTTTTTTTTTTTTTTCTTTTTTGTAGAACGTTCTCGTAATTGAGAACTTGGAAACGTGCTTTGTAAGGTTAAGTGCAGAATTGTATCCTTTTGAAAGCCTTCCGGTGTTATGTACAACTGATGGGTTGTGGTTTAAGTAAAAGTTATGATATAAGGACCCTGAAATGATTTCTTTGGGAAAAGTAATGGAGCTAAAATAATGATTTTTTTTTTTTTTTTGTATTTCACTTAGTTTTAAAGTAGATCTGTAGGTTTCCTACAATAATTGTAAGACTAAAAAGTTTAAAGAGGCACAAGATGACCCATGATTAATTTAACCAAAGTGATAGTCCAGCGGGCGTCTGGAAGTTACGAACAGCTTCTCTGACAAGTGCTCAGAAACTGTATTCTTTAAAGCCAAGCAGTTTCTCTGGGTTCTATGATAGGATATTTACTATTCTAGAGAGAAGAAGGATGTTGGTAAACTTTAAAGGTTTTAGAGGATGTAGAGTATAGAACATAATGATCAGCATGTTTAACTTTACCCTGAAGCATATCAAGCCCTATTAAATGGAACTTGATACATCAAACCTACCAATTGGGTAACTGGGATAAAGTGATTATAAAATAATCAGCATTAGGAGCATAATATAGTTTGAGTGAGAAGATAGGCCAGACAACTTTATGCTTGAATAGTATTTATTCTCCAAATAAAAATGTGGCAAGTAACATAATAGTGAAGAATAGTGATTATTAAGAAAGTTGATAAGACTATAATTTGGAGATTTAATGCCTCATGCAGGAAGGGAAGGAGCAGAAATATTTAGGTTTGTAGAAGATGTAAGAGTGGTTCTGGGTTTCTCTAGCAGAAAAATTTGGTTAATACATAATTGGCTAATGCTCCGTCAAAAAGTAATTGGTAAAAAGGCAAGCAATTCAGAACATTTAGTATTTACTGACTGCTAATATTTTATACTGTGTAGATCACATTAAGAAAATTGCTCAGATGAAATTTTATTTTAATAAGCTATTTACAATCCTTTTTAAGACTTAAATTTGTCTGTACTTATTTAAGGCATTGGGGGAAAAAGGTGATTTTCACTGGAAAAAAAATCCAGTGTATCACACAAAAGAGTTGTGCCATAGGGCTTTAAAATAAGTTTGCTAGAAGAATACCCTGGAATTATTTCTAATGTTCTTTTACTTTCCTTTCATCAGAATATTGATTTTTAACAAGTTAAACATTTCCACTTAAAGTTTAAATCATAAAACTACACAATATACAAATTAAATTGTTATTTTAATAAGTTTAGTAAATACAGTCAATAGCACTCATATCTTGGTAAAGGTAAATTGAAAATCTGTGATGAAGTTAGAGAATATTGAAAATTTGTTTGAACTATATGGCCTCTATAGGGTTGTTTCCCATTCTTAAGATTGTATGAATAGTGCTTTCTTTTATGGTTCTATTTGTAAATGTTATGCAAAGCCTAGAACCTAATTTATTAGCATTAGTGTACACTTCAGGAAGTAAAACCATAGACTGAATTTACAAAATACTGTGGTGTGGTGTCATATTCTAGGCAGCGTTAATGGATAGAGATGGAGTAGAGCATCAGTAATAAGAGAACTAAACCTCACGTGAATTTGGAAAATTGAAAATTTTTGAAAGCCTTCTGAGAGAAGAATTGGTGTCTTTGGCTTCTGATTAAAGTTGTGATTTAGCAGTGAGTATTCTTAATAGCTCTGCAAAATGACAACCAAAATCACTTTTCTGTTTTCCTCTCGAGACTGGCATTTTTAATACTTACCTTTAGAGGCTCCATAAGAATTTGCCTTTTACTAATAAAATCTATGAAACTTTCTTTTTCACTGCAGTTTGCCTCTCAAGTGTTTTGTTTTAGGGATTTAGTGTACTCTAAGAATAAATTGCCTTTAAATTATCTTGTGTTTATTTGCTCATATAAACTATTATTGCTCAAAACTATACAAATCATCCAAATAAACAGACACGTTGTCATAATGAATACAGGTTTATATTTTCTTTTCCTTTTTAGATATTACCTTTTCAGAATTCATTGTACAAATGTTTTTGATGAGACGGAACCAATATTCATAACATTGTATGGTAAGGGTTTTAAATGACATATACAGCACTTATGTATTTAGAGCACTTACTTTGAAAGTGATTGAAATTTAAAGCAAGTTAGAGATAGGTGACTGAGAGCTTGGTGATTGTGTTCTAAAGCAGTACTTTAATAACTCAAAACAATACCTTTTTTTTTTTTTTTAATTCTTTGCCTAACAGATTTAGAGTTGATGAATTGATCCCGGTGGGGAGTGACCGATCTCATCCAGATAGGGTCCCTGAGAAATAGCTTATGAAAGCGAAACAGCAACAACAAAATGCCGAATAATTGAAATATTACATTATTTCTTATGGAATTAATTATTTCAGAATTTTTAAAAACAAATTTTAACTGAACATATTTGCCTCTATCCTTTTAAAGAAGGAATTAAAGTAACATTCTTTAGTGCCTATATGAAGGTTTTATGTTAACTGTAGTACCATTTCACTGATTTCGCATGTTATTAGAAATACACATATATAAAAACATGTCTCTTAGAAGTATTAAAATCTCAATTAAAGTTTAATACATTCTTAGTTCAACATATAATACCATTTAGAATGGCCACTTTACCCAGTGCTGTTAAACACCTCTGCATTGTGGAGCTTTCATTAATTTAGATGGAAATATCTCAAATTAGCATGATTGTCATTGGGAAAATGTTAAACGGAACTTTTAATGACATCAGTTGTATTCCTTATTTTTTTAAATTAGTAGTTGGTTTGCCTGTGGGATATATGTGTTGCTTTCAGTAATATTTTATGAATAACTTACACATGTTAGTGTTTCCATTGTGACCATAGACTCAAAGTAGATTCAGATGGCATGAGAAACCTTTGTTCCTCTTGTGATGTTGCTCTTCCTGAACTTCTAAAGCCATCGTTTGCTGTATCCTCTTTCTCTTTCCCTTTAGTATCATTACCAGTGCTTTTCTTCACCAGTCTTTAGTCATTGCTGTAGTTGTATTATTGTTGCTAACTACAGGATTAAAGAATCTGTTCATATCCATTTGATCTAGTCAATTCTGAACATTTAAGAATTGGTAGTAATCTAATTGGTCTGGAAACATTGCATCCCTTGGTACTCTTAAGAATACCATGGCAGAACTGGCCTCTGTTGGGAATCTCATAGCACAGGAAGAATTCAGAGGGCCAGTTGGAAAAGTGGATCCAAGATTTAGCTTCCTTTTATTCTAAAGGAGGACACAGGATGATTTAGCTTGCCAAAGGCTTGCTTTGTGGCTGGATACATGCTAGTATTTTCAGATTAATTTAGACTCTTTTTGCGTAATGATATCAAGGATTTTTGATAGTGGCCTAATCATTGATGATAATTGCGGTGTGAACACTTTCACAATGATTGTCGAAGATCTGCATTTATGTAATATGATAGTTAATGTATATATTGGCTAAGCTAATAGTAAGACTAACTGCTAATAGTATGGATAGTAAGCCATTTTTTGACATTTACTGGAATTTGGACCTTACCTTGTTAAGATCTACCTAGGAATTTACTTCTGAATTGATGAGGTTTTATTAACTAAATAATTATTAAGCACAAGCAGAATAACACGAAAGAGAAGTGGGAAAGAATTAAACAAAAGAGGAAGATGTAGGTCTGACTGTTTTGGACTCAGACTAGGTAATAATAGGCACATTGATTAAACTATTCCTATGTGTTAGTATTGTGCTAAGTGCGTTCTATATTATACATCACTGTTTTTGATTCTGAGACTAATCCTGTTAGATAGCTACTGTTTTTTTTCCTTCCAACTTTTCTTTTGGACTCATTTTTGATTCCAACTTTTATTTTAGATTCATGTGGCAGGTTCATTGCCTGGGTTTTTTGAATGATATTGAGATTTTAGTTACCAGTGATCCTGTCAGCCAGGTACTGAGCATGGTACTTAATAGTTTTTCAACCCTTAAGCCCTCCTCCTTACCTCCCCTACAAGTAGTCCTCAGTTTCTATTGTTGCTGTCTTCATCTTCATATAGTAGATTAGGAAACATACTGGATGATCTTAAGTAACTTGCCCAAGCTCACATCTAGTAGGTAGCAGAGTTAGAGGTTGTCTAGGGTTTCTCTGATTCCAGCGCTTGGATTCTTAGCAGGTATGTTGTATGCGTCCTTATACAAACAATATGCG